CTCATTAACTTACATGATCTATTTTAGGGCCATAGCTGATCAAACTAAATACATTGCGCGCTACTTGTACTTCATTGCGGGAGGGAAGCCGGGCGCAATTATCTGATCGCGTTATAATGAATGCTTGGCTTTAAAGTAACCACTACGCGCATTCATTTGGAAACAACATTTTTTTTTAAAAAAAGGGTCTAATTTTTCCGAAGAACATTTCGAATGGTGCCCAGACATCCTTTCTCAACATTGCTATATCAAAAACGCGTCAGCATCAGTTATCCATAGTTATCCATGTTACAAAAGGGCCTCTCTTGTTCAGTTTCCTGTGAAAGGTAGTTTTCCCTTCTCCCAAGTGTCGGGGGGCACGGGGGTGGGGGGGGGGGGGGGGGGTGCACGATACATCATCCTTCTTGACTCTACAGGCCTTCATCAGTGTTGCATTAGTGTAGAGAAGTATAGCAGCAAACATGAGAGTCCAACTTGGGACTATGAATGGTCTCTTTTTGTCGATGCTCTAACTTCACTGTCGCTTTACCTTCCATTTTGAGTTGCAATTGCGCGATTTTCTTCCAAATTAGCATTTCCTCCCATGCCAGCACAGTCTGGGTGCACAAGTAATTTGATAGAGAGATTCTGTATTAAAAGCTGACATATGTTATCAGCAAAGCCGGGAACAGAGTCACAGAGAGAAGGGAGAAGCAAGTCTTTGGAGTTACTTGTTGCTCTCCTTATGAGGCATTTCTCATATGTCCATCAAAGGCCGCGGCTCTTTCTTGTGCCGTATGGACAAAAATTTCGACAACAATACTCCAACTCTTTCATTTCAAAGCAGCTATCAGTGTGGCTGCTCGGCTAGTATTTGTGTTCTTTCTTCTCTTTTTAAACCCACTACAGCCCAAAGGCGTGTTAATACCTTTTGATAGGGATTGCATTAATTATCTCCAATAACACAATTGTGCTTGGCCAACGAAAAGAGCAAAGAAATACCCTTCAGAGCCAAAAGAAAAATGGGGTTGGGAGAAAGAGAAGAGAAGGTCTCTATCGAAATCTGCCTGGGGAGCAGCTGCTCTTTAAAAGAAAAGTTTTTACAGGAGAGTGAGAAAACTGCAGGAAAGACTGGTTTAAACGCTAATTTATCACAGCAATAGAATATACATTTTCAGAACCAGTGTATTTGTCAAATGCGGACGAATTAACAACTGAGATGTTATATCTATTGAGTATGTTACTAGGACACTTGTCAAGCTAGCTACCTATCTTTCACAGTGGCATTAAGCAGCTCACATTAAGTGATATGATGTTATAAATATGAAACATATCTGAGCTAAGCTATTATATATGACCGAATCAATGAACTAAACAGAAAGCTGAATTGTATGGTCATAATTACAATTTTATGTCCTAAAATGTCCCTTTTCACTTTGATTTGCAATGGATTTCAGAACCAAACAGTTATAACCACGAATATGATGCGTGTGGGTCCAAATTCACCGCATGTTTCAATTGCGCAAGTGTTCACCATCGTCAGCAGAGAAGTTAATTTCAGTGATGCGATGACTTACTTTGTTTTATCAGCGATTGGGAATGCAAGGTGCAATTTCACACTTCAATACTGTGTACAAAGTGACAACTTTTACGTGCATTTCTTTGGCGGTGGTAACATGATTGTATAATATAACTGCAGCAATAAGTTAATTCGATGGAGCTGAAGTGTCCAACGTTTTTCATCGAGTTTGGTTGGCGCAGTGGCAGGTGTTGGCTGCTGGCGGGAGTGTGTTTAATAGAACAAGCGTAAAAGATTTACTGTCGTTATAGCAACCGGATCAGCCACGCTTTCTCAAAACGCATTCATCTTTTCATGTCCCCGTAACACGTTTTTAATTAAACCGTATAAAAGTTGTTTTGTAGTCTTGTGTCGTCATCTTTTGGGGGGGTTTGAACATGGTTAATCAGGCTTCACCTTCTTTTGTTGCACAAGTAAGCATGTAACATAATCTCGTGCGATCCCAACAATTGAGGCGTTATCACTTTATCATCTCTTTCCACATAACGCGGTGCACCGAAATAATTTGCTGCCAGCAGAATAATCAACCAGGATCGTTGCATGCAGTCAACAGGCAACTTTTATAGGGGAAAAAGTCCTCCCGCCACACTCTTCAGCTGGTCAGTTTTTCTTTTGAAGTTGGCTGAACAGCTGAGACAATGTATTTATTTGACAGCACAAGGATTACCGACAACAGAAAAGGCTCGAAAACATCCAGTCGGACTCCAGATTTAGAGAAAGGACACCCAGGTTGTGCCATCTCCAGGGTTACGGTCGGAGGTGGATTCTGACAAACTCTACTGGTGTTCTTCTTTATTGGAGGGGAGGAACTCTCAGCAACCAGCCCCCGCCACAGCAAAAAAACAACACAACTTACACTATCTCTCAACTCAGGGGAGGGATCCAATAAAGCCAGCGCTGGCTCACACATCACATCACATCACACATCACACACACATCGTTGATTGCCACACCGACTCCACTTACAGTTATCTGGAACACTCTATGTCTATGAAATTGAAGGAGTAGGCACTTCAGCTTCACAAAAGAACAGTCTGATTTGTAAGTCAATGCGGTTACAATATAAACCCGCCAAAAAAGTCAAAGCTATCTGTACAAAAGCTCCCAGGCCATTCCAGCGTTGGCATACGCATGATTATAGGAATATAATTGTTAAAAGGTCAAGACTGAATACTGTGAGGCCAAGTTTTAGTTGATTCAAACAGTCCATTTAGAATATATGTTAATGTGAAATAAAATTATGGTTTTTGTGTGCAGTAGTTTGTCAGGGCAATATTTCAGAAACACCAAGCGATTTGATTGTAATACTTATTTGAGGGAAGGCTCTAAGTTTGTAAGAGTTTGTCGAGTTCGAATGAAGAACTGCAGAACCAAAACATAAAAACACAAACGTTGGTCCAATATACATGTGTCTGGGCTTCAGCTGGACAGAATGGTTACGTTTATATTCATAATACAGTAATGTAGCAGCAGGTGATAAAGATGAACCCAGACATTTCTCACATCTACTGTACCAATACACACCCACGTGTTTCACCCATATCATCCCACCTTCTACCACGCAGATCAGCGAAGAAATAACAAAAAGTGCATATTTTGAGGTAACCCAAAGGTCAGCCTCGTCATAAGCTTTTTACACAATTCGGGACCAGAACATTTGCATTTGGCTCATCCAGAAACTGAAGGATAATCGTTTTTTTTCCCCATCGTTATCCTTACAGAAGTATCTCTTTTCTTTACCAGGTGACTGTTACTATTAAAATAATTGATTGTCAAATTAACAATAAGTTGTAGCTGTGTAATTGGTAATGCATTCAGAAGTTTTGTTCTAACCTTGTGTCCCAATATCACAAAACCTGTAGCAGAATCTGCAGTAGATAAATTAACAAAGATTGAGAACTCTGCTTTATTACCCATTAAAGCTAAACATGCACTTTGTAACTGTCATATTCTCTCCTTCCTATATTAACCAATTTCCCCCACATAATCATTTAATGTTTCCCAATTTTATACAGTAGCACACACCTGGATATAATCTTAGTCATTTTCATACAAACCTTTTTTTTAAAATGACACATCACACCACACACCTTTGGATTATTCATTTTTTGAGTATTACTCATCATTAGAAAAGGAAGTGTGATTGGAAACATACTATGAAACAAAAAGCCTATTGAATGATCGAATACCCCGGAAATACTGCTGTTGATTAATATCATAATCACATTTTTGAAAAATGGAGTGCAATTTTCTAAATGGTACTGAATAAAAATTGTTGAGGTTGAACACCGACTTAAGAATGTAGCTTTATACAGTAGCATAATCCAATTTGTAAATAGCTCCCGATAACCGCAAATTAAGACATTCATTTTCTCCTTTGACCCTAGACTATTATTATTTAAGCATTTCTCACTTTAAGTGCATTAGAGCGATAATTTCTCGTTACAGTAAAAAAAANTTGCAGAAGTCCCAGGAAGGTACAGAAATCTTCATTTAACGTGTGTTTATTTAGTAGAGGGTCCATATGGTTTCATTTTCTACAAATTAAGGAGCATTATATTAGTTCTTCAATGACCTTTGTGCGAATTCAAAACATAACTTGTTGGTGTTTTGTCCACAAATATACAGTCAATTCATTTTACAGTATATTCTGTGAAGCGCCTTTGGAAGTCTCAAAGAAGTGATAAGGTGCTAAATCAAATGCGAGGATTATTATTATTATCGGTTGTATATTGGACACAATTGTACTTTAAAAATACTTTCTCATCTTTTTAATTAGGACTATTTAGTGATTTGGTAAGTTAAAATCTTCACATAACAGAATCAATACAGTGGTGCCCAATCCAAACAGTTTCTTGCATCATTCAGTATCAAATGCAACTATTTCAATGTGTGGCTTAGTTAGCAAGTTCCAAATGTGTTATACTTCGATCTTTATTTCACAGTTTTCTTGTAGAATACGAGTACTAAAACTGTTACAAGATGCAGGAATAGGAGATTTCACATTTGCACAGCTAATCTCTGCAGTTTGGCACTAACCTAAACATGAACAGCATTGTCAAAATCAACAACGTTGCCACTACAGCGCCAGTAATCAACCCTCAGCTTCATTGGTACATACTGTCATACCAACACAGCTTACACTTAAATTAATAGGATGAACTCCTGTTCATTGGCACATCTATTGGAGGACAAAATCACTTCCAAATAAATTTACTGCAAACTCCTGGCCATAAAGTCTCGAAGATGTGATAAGGTGCTATATCAAATGCAAAGATTATTTATTATTATAGGGTTTCAGAAGTAAAAGAGATCTTTCATGTCTAGCAATGCAGAATTAAAAAGAGAACACAGACAGCTGAGAGGAAACTGAAAGAGTGCTAACAACTCATAATTTAACTCCCACACTGAAAATAAATCTAAATGCACTTACAACAGCAAATTCAAGCAGCTTTTTATTTAACCAGTTCAGTGATTTTCACAATAAGTTCTGAAGAAACTGAAAACAAAACAAGTGTAAGGCTATAACAAATGTGTGCAATATCCTAGTTCTAATACTGTGCTACCACTGCCATATTGTATTTAAACATCAAAAAGACATTTCAAGAAATAAGGAGCCAAGAGTATAAAAATACATCACACAGAATGTTAACATAAATTTAAGAACCATTTTCTTTACTCTTCTAATTCGGTTAAAAATGTAAAAATATAATTTTCATTAACCTGTAGAAATTGCTAAGAATACAAGTTGTGTTTTGCAGCTGCAAGCAAGTGCAGCATGTACATGTTATGACCTTTCAATGGCATGCTAAGTCATCTTTTTCAAAAGAAGGTAACAGCTCTATTGATTTTTTGCCAAGCATATAACTGACTACATGAAACATATGAAACTACTTATAGACACACATCTTACAAATTCCTGGAAAAGTTGTACATCTGAAAGTGTCTGGTGTGCAAGTCTACAACTTTGTTAACTTAAAATACCTTAAAGTTTCCAGACTTAAAACAATTACATTTTGGTTTTCTTTTTCCTTGGAATGTCGTTTGAGTGTGCTGGTTACAACAACTATTTGTTAAGATGAAGCTTTTTATTTGTACAGTGATGAATAGAGTGGCCTGGTCACCAGATGTGACTACATTTCCAGACTCTGCCGCTCAATCAGGTCACCGTCCTGATGTTCCCTGCTCCAACCTTCTTCCTCAGGACGTCCACCAGCCGTTCCAACCTGCATGAAGAAAAGAGGAGCTAATAATAGGAATGCACTGTGTTTGCATTGTAGTAAGCCTTTCTTGGTGGCCATTAGAAAACAAAGCTCTACTGTGCAGCACAGACACTGGTACAGAATGCTGATTCATCTCTTGAGTTTATATCTAGGCTTCCCAGCACTCTCACAGTAGGGTAGAAACTTAGTTTGATGTGCAAAACTGCTTTGTCAGAATAGGCAGTATAACTTGGTATTGTATGCTTGACCACTTTCAAATCAAATTGCTGTGTAACAGCAGCATTATATTCAAAATTGACAAATTGTAACTTAATGCATCTAAATACTTCATCCAAAATTATGTTAAAAACATCAGCATTCAGCAATTGGAGTTGTTTGCTAGTTATGTTAAAACAATTCTAAATCTGTTTACAAATGGAGTCCTGTAGCTCAGTGGTTAGAGCACTCCTTTTGCAAGTGAGAGACCTGAGTTCAATTCCAGGCAGGGCGAAACCTTGGGCAAGTTTCCTTACTCCACACGCCTAATAATAATCCCTCCAAAACCAAAAACAATAATAAATTGGTCATTTTCAATCTACGACTGTTTGTGGGACATTGCTGTGCGCAATTGGCTGCCGCGTTCGCCCTCAAATATACAGTCAATTCACTTTACAGTATATTCTGTGAAGTGCTTTGGGACGTCCTCCCGACGTGAAAAGCGTTATATCAAATGCAAGGATTATTATTATTAAATATGATAATCAATAATCACTGCTAAACAGATTGATTTTCATACTTTTCACTCAGTAGATTACTTTTGAAATTTACACAAAGATTTACACGTTTAATATTGTATACAGAACACATACATATATAAATATACTGTACAGGTAATTAAATTATTGCAGGATAGGTATTAATAATTGAATTATAATAGGGAATAACTATTTAATAGCAAGGTGAAAATGTTTAATTCTCTAGTATTGAATCTTTATGGTCCTTAATTTTGTTTGCTGCAGCTTGTGCTAATGTCCAAAGCTTTGGCAAGTGGTGGCAGATATTGTAAAGTTAGCTGTAGGGCTGCTATTGCTTAAAGCTGTCATAGTCGTTTATAGTGATTCTCTGACCTGTGTGTTCATTTACAGTTTGCCTAAAACTCTTAGACAGAAGATGGAAGTTTGTACATTATTACACATCTATATTGATTTATCAGTAACATAATACTGCATACTGTGCATACATTCTCCACCAGAAAGGCTGTGTCTAGTACTAGTAACATAACATCATCTTGTTGTGGAATACTTTTAACAGGTCAATCGCAAAACCACCAATGAAAGATTAATGATATAATTTAACCAATGCATGAATAGCAACAACCAATATTTAATAAGACAAACAACAGAAACCATCAGACATTCCAGAACTTCCAGGATGTGAATTTCTACAATTAACTAGAACAGTGCTTATGTTTTTTGCACAGAACAATTTTTAATTGTTAATTGTTAAGTCAATCAATATTAAAATGTCCTTCTTCTTCACATTTAAAAATGAAACAAAATCACAACTCCTTCAGACTGGATACTCAGCTCTTCGGGAGACCAGCTGTAACTTTAGCTTCAATGTTCACATTAGAATTCATATAAGGAGCTCTATTTTCTTTGCTAAACTTGTCTCTTCCAGCCATTTTACATTCTCATCAGCTTCCATCAATGAAACAACCTCTACACCAATGTGTTAAATTCTCTGCTTATTATGGTTTCTTTTACCAGCCACACCACATAAGGAGCACTTGGTTCAACCCACATTTTTCTCACAGCTGTGCTAGAAAGAACACCAGAATTTTCTCCCGACAACCCAGATAATCTCTCATGGATTTCAAGGCTGAGCGTCAGATCACACCGAGGTGTGATTATTGCAAATTCATTCGTGTTCTGAAGCTGCATGCTTAGTTTCATTGTGATGGATTAGGCCTGCCACTAGTTAATGATGAATGTTTAGACTTTTCAGACATTATCACAAAATATTTGTTCATTCTTTAAAAGAATAGCCTGACCAACCAAAACATTAAACTAGAATTAAAAATATTATTTTAGTTAATTATTTTTACGTATCTGTAATTTTTTCATCATTAAAGCTCTTCTGAGTTAGTAAAGCCAATGCTTAGAATAAAACTGAGACATACAGACCTGGGAGGTTACAGGTTTGATCATCAAGCTAAGTCTGTTAACTCGGCCAGCGTAACAGAAATGCAATCAATTTAGTTCTGCTCCCCATGCTGGTAAGGAGAAGACAATTTCAGCAACGTCTTCCACTCTTAATTAATATCCAGTGAAATCTACTGGAAAGAGTGGATGCTGGGTGAGGACACCCCTTCCCATCCAAAAAGCTTCTTGACACATGGAAAGGTATTGCCCTTGTCAATGTATACTAGTATGAGTCAGGAGATGAGTGAGAAAAATTGGTGGAATAAGGGAATAAGCTTAAAATAATACAAAACTAGAGTCGTGAATCTGATTGCCTATACATTCTACTTTGGGCAGTTTTGATTGAAGTCAAGTTTCAAAGATATCAAAAAGAGCAACTCCAGCACTAATCAAATGTTACTGTAAAATAGGCAGAGTTCTTCCAGTTTAAGTAGGCAAATAACACTTATATCCTGTTTGGTTTGAGTAACCTTGTCCAGTATCAAAAGATAAAATAATTAACTGGATTCATTACATTACAAAATGCTTGTTTTGTGCTGATATATATTTCTCTAGTTTGGAGATTATTTTATGAAACAGCTTTCTCAAAATGAGTGTTATACAATAGAAGGCCATTCAAATATCAAAATGCAAGATTATTATTCATCTCAGATACAAATCAATTTTATTTGAGCTGATGGGGGGGCAGGACTGTAACTGGGCTAAAGAAAGGATAATATATATGACAGGATTTCTTCTGATTGCAATCCAGTTTCTGTGAACCCAAGTGGCAAAAGTCTGGTTTCCTTTAACTGGACTGTTTACTACTTCAATTCTTTTTAAAAAGCTGTCCATAGCTTCAAAGAAAAAAAATGGTTGCTATTGACAATGTCATTGACTTGGCCATTTTTTGGGTAACTAAGGACAAACCATGTTTTTGCTCTGACTGAAGACTGATTCAATGGGCGGTTGTTGGTCTTTAGTACCTCAACTAAGATATTCTCTATGTGTGAGGCAGGACAATGACTGTAAGCTGCTTATTTGTTCATACACGTAGAAGCCCAACCCTGTCCTCTTACCTGGCATCCACATCGGTGCACTTCACGCAGTCACTGGTTAGCAATCAGAAGAGGAATCACATCCTATACCTTTTCCTCTTACTAGATCAGTTGTCGCTCCCGATCAAAATACATTAATAAAGTTTGCAAAGTTCAGGGATCAACCTAGTATTTATGGTTATTATCTTAAAAATATAACCTGATTTTGTGCTGCCTACTATTTAGCATGAGTTTCTTTGGAACAAACCGAGCTCTAAATCTATTCAAAATCATTTGCAAGTATTCATAAAATAGTAGGACTGAATTATGCTTTCAATATAACAGGTGAAATATTGTGGACTAAGAGCATAAAAATTAAACCAGATACAACCTTTTCTAATAATAAGTTTTTTAAAAAAAGTTTAGACTTTTTGAAACCAAAATCAAAAGGACACACAAAAGCATATTCATTCTGGCCACTGCATCTTTACTATAATCCTGTTGCTAAGATTTTACTGTAAACTGAAGTGAATATTAGTAGAAATAAAACCTAAATAAATTTTGACCTGAATAATTTTACTGCTGTTTTACACAAGAACTGTAAAAGTCTCTGCTTTTTCCCAGAACCCATATCTATCCACCCCCACCTTATAATTCAACCGACAAACAGATCAAGCAGCTGAGTTTGTAGAAAGTCTGTTTGCTCTGTGCTAAGAACCCTTATGTGACGCTTCACAGATTCAACTGACACCTCTGGGAGAACTGCAGAGACTCTGCTTAATCATTATCAGCATTGCAATTTTCTCAGAATTCTAAGCTTATTTTATTGTAGTCTGTTTCCTGACTGTATATCATCCATTTAAAGATTATATATTATATATATATATAGTACACAACACATCGTAGTCATACACATGCACGAATAAAAAAAAAGGATTACATATGCATGACATCAAAGAAAAAGCACACTATCGGAGGAAATCTCCCTAGGTACCCCTAAAAGATTACAGCACTGGTCGTCCCAGCTCTAAGCTGTAGACGTGATTATGAATAGAAATTTTCTGACTCCATGGCACTTATGCCAATAGCATTTGTGTGAAATGTGATGGATTGTGGGTAATCAATACTAAGCACTAATTCCAAACCCTGGCATTAGTTTGCAGGCTGACTGTAGAAACTTGTCAGACTTTTCACATTGTTTTGCAGAGTTTATGGTCAGACAATAATAATTATTGCATTTGATATATCACATCGTTGAGACATCTCAAAGCACTTCACAGAATATATTGTAAAGTGGTTTGATGTTTTGTGGGCAAAAGGCAGCAGTCGGATGCGCACAGCAATGTCCACAAACAGCCATAAAGTGAAAGGACAATTTTTATTTGGGGGATTGGCAGGGCACTGCGATATTTATTTACATAACATAATAGTAATAATAATCCTTGCATTTGATGTGGCGCCTTATCACATCGTTGAGATGTCTCAAAGCACTTCACCGAATATATTGTGAAGTGAATCATATGTAAATGAGCAAAGCTCAAGGTAGAGCAAACAGAATATGAAGAGAAGCAAAATAGTTGCTCAAAATACTACAACTTTCAAAAACATCACATGTATTAATTAACTTGTGTTTGAAAAAATCTTTTGAAATTCAATTTGTGTTTTAAATTTAAAGAAGGTTTCAAATAACACGGCGTCAAAACCCACCGTTTCTTCAATGCCATATTGTTTGTAAAATATCATCTCTGAAACAATCAAACTGACCCAACTAATGTACTACTACTTCTTGCCACATCTTGTTTTCTTTCCAACTTGTGGTGCAAAGCACTTGAAACATTACTTTTGGTGTAATATTTTTACTACCATTGCTTTCTGTACACAGCAGTAAGAAAGTAAGAAAAATACTTGAGATTTTACTATACCCCCACCACAACACAAAATAATATTTTTCTACTTCCAGTTATTAAATGGCAAATGAAATATTTACTTTGAATAATGCAAAACCAATGTATACCATAATCCTGATATCCTCTTGAGTTAAAAGGCGCTAATACAAATACAAGGATTATTATTATTGAGGTCCTATTGTGCAGGTGTAACTATCAGAGAAAAGAAAGCAAATGAATTCAGTATAACCAACAGAATGGAGAGTAAAGGATGAAAGGAAACAAACTTTCATTTGTTAAAAGACTGCAAAGCACCTGACTTACTTCTGAACTCTTTCGTTGACTTCAGTTTTGGCTTCCAAGGCTTTTTGTAGTTTATTCTCCAAGTCTGCTCGTTCAGCAATGGCCAATTGCAGCTGGCCTGCCAGATCTTCAGTTTGGCGATGTGCAACTGATGTTATGCCCTCACTGGCACGTAAAGCATCTTCGTAACTGTTTACAGTAAAGTTGAACTGCTCTGTTAGACTTGCCTCTTGAGATAAAGACTTGTGTAAACTGAAAAAAAGGGAATGAATGAGATTTTCTTTGTATAATTTAACTGTATCATAAGTAGAAAAAAGACTGTTACCCATATTTATCATACATCATTACTCAAACTATGTGACATTTTGCCAATAATCCATATATCTGTGAGTATCTTCCACTTGTTTTTGTGAAGCAAGTATAGTTCTCTTAATGCAGTAAATGTCAGCTTTGACTTCTGTTGGTGTAAATCTGAGCTATCTTCTGGCACACATGCTGTAGTTATATTTTGTTGCTATGAGGGTGCGACTGATGATAAGATGACATGTCCTGGCAGGTCGATCCTTACACTGAATGAGTGACAACAAATAAGAGTTTGATTCATTGAATCAGTAGATAGTCAAAATTGGAAGCAAGGCTTGCAAAATATCAAGGTCCCTAAGGATCTGAGTTATTGGCACTTTGCAGATCTACCTGGACTGATGCCTGCATTCATTCCCTCTTCATGAGGACACCAATCTGGCACTATTTTTTCAGTTTTCTGGATCACACTTTGAAAAAAATACTCTGTGTCTGAACTGAAGCATTCGATAATTGCCTTTTTAATCTGCCAATTGCATTTTAAATGTAAAATAAAAAAGGTATTAGATTCATGGTGTCTGTTAAAAATATTTACAGAAGATTAACACACGTATTTAAACAGCAGCATTTATGTAAAAGAAAGACTGCATATGCTAAATAATAGGAATGGTAGAAGGAATTTAGAGTTAACCAGTGGTCCCAATGAAGACATAAAGCACTAGACTAAAGCGACATCGAGTCCTGGACGAGAGATAACTTTCTCCAGCTCAACGTGCGCAAAACTGAGGCCCTCCTGATTGGCTCGCGTCAGCGCCTCCGCACCTCAGGCGCTGACAACATCAGCATCCAAGGCTGCACTCTCCACCTCTCAAAGCCAGTCAGGAACCTCGGGGTTCTGTTCGACCCTGAGCTGTCCTTTCTCCCTCATATCCGCGCCACAACTGGCACCACCTTCCATCACCTCCGGAATATCGCCAGACTACGGCACTACCTCACCCCTCACGCTGCTGAAACTCTGGTCCACGCCTTTATCACCTCAAGGCTGGACTATGGGAACTCTCTCCTCGCCGGCCTTCCCGGCACCTCTCTCCACAAGCTGCAGGTCATTCAGAACTCTGCAGCTCGTGTATTATCCCGCACCAGGCTTCGGGACCACATCACTCCCACCCTCGCTCGCCTCCACTGGCTCCCCATCCCCCAGAGGATCGAATTCAAGATCCTCACCCTCACCGAGAAGGCCATTCACGGCCTTGCTCCCTCCTACCTCTCCGACCTACTATCCCCCTACCTACCCGCCCGTACCCTCCGTTCCTCTGGCTCCGGTCTGCTCCACACCCCCCGCCACAACCGCCCTACCATCGGTGGCCGGGCCTTCAGCCTCTCAGCCCCTAGGCTCTGGAACTCTATCCCCCAGTGCCTTCGCCTTGCCTCCTCCCTTTCCTCCTTCAAGGCCAGTCTCAAGACCTTTCTCTTTGACCGAGCCTTCAGCTCCCCTCTCGACTCTCTACCCCCTCCTCGCTCCCTCCCTTCCCTCACCCTGACCATTTCCCCCTTGCTCGGGTCCTGACCCAACTGTACAGCGTCTTGGGATGTCCTCCCGACATGAAAGGCGCACAATAAATGGAATCTTGTTGTTGTTGTTATTGTAGACTAAACCTATGTTGTATAAAACATCATAAACACAAGAAGGAAGCTTAAGTGGTTTATAACAGTCATTAGAATCCCAAGGTTCGATTCTAAACTGGAAATCACTGAACTGATCGTTCATATGTAATGTATTCAATGAAGATCATGGCAGGGTTTTATTCAATTTTAACCTCTTTTGACCAGTAGCAGTGAAATGGTGAATATAACCAGTAGGCTACAAGTAGTTGATATGTCACATTTCTATACTGAAGGTTTATGAATTGTGACAATTATTAATCTATTAATGATGTTTCATAGTTGATTACTAGGAAATAACTTAGACATCTTCTTAATTTGAAACTATCAATGCCAATTAGCTGTGCTACTGGATTTACTTACAATTTCCATTTCCCTGTGGTACTAGGAATGATACAAATGACAAGGCCAAGCACCGTTTAACACCATTGTTACTCAAAGAGAAACCTTAGAGAACTGTGGAGATTCATGCTTGGGGATGAAAAAGTGAAAAACTGGTGTTCAGATTGAAGCAAATACATTAAATCCAATGCAGTTTACATACATTGTGACTCGCTTGACATAACAGTGTGGAGTTCAAGATTTATTTTAATTTCAAGGAGAGGGGAACCCCTAAGATCAAAATGATGAAATATGTGGATTTATACAAAACATGCTCAAGTCAAACAAAAGGGTGAGTCAATAAAATAACTTGAAAAATGACCCTACTTCTACATTTTTTTCAACAAGTCTCTCAGTAATTAATACTGTCATGAAATTTCTGTGTCCTTGACGAATTATGTATATTAAGCTCTTGAATGCCTTATTCAAATGTTTAATTCTATGTACATGAGCCTAGACTGTAAGATAAATCAGAAAATTTGATCATGGGGAAGATGAGGTGCCAAGCACCATCTTGCCTTCACCTGGTATTCACATACCAAGTATACTTAGCAGTGATATATGTACCTGTGTACAGTATAAAACTCAGGCTAATTTTTCATCTCTCAAACTGGGAGGGGGGCAACAGAGGCCAAATGTACTGCCTCAACCAATGCCCTGCTTCAACTTAGCTAACTCAATATAGACTAGCAATCAAACCAGCACATTGCTGGACAGCAAGACTCAGCATCACATTATCCAGCAACATTAAGCCATTTGGGAATAATGCCTGTCTTTACAAAGGAAAATGTCAATCCATATTGACAACCAAGTGCAGCATTATGGATGAATGGAAGCTTTAAAAGCAGAAAAAAGAATTGCAGCAGTAAAACAGTGTACAGAAATGTGTGTTCAAACTACTCAAATAATCACTTATGCTATTGAAAATACATTTCAACTAGATTCCAAGAAATATATATTCCTTATTTTTGAAAATCAATATATTCATTTTCTCTTAATCATGAATTCAGCCATAATTTCTATATATTTTGTACCACAGTGCATGTTATATTCTGAAGTGTTACACTGAGAAGCTCCAACCATTTGCTGAGTGTATTATAGATTATTTATAGCTTCGGTTTCCAAGGAATAGTGTTTACCTTCATGTAGTCACTCTGTTCTGTGGCTTTTTAATTAGCTGAAATAGGCTGCAATTGTGACCAAGAGGAAATCAATTCTTATTTGATATTGATAACTATGCTGTGACGTAAGCTGTGTATTCGGCCTAATTAAATGCAAACATGTGCAGTATGAGAGTCCAGTGATGATGACAACAGCAAGGTTTAAACAGAATTGCTTAACCATGGATCAACAGATTTTCCTTTCTGCACAAACTGTGCAATCTCTGACAGAAAGGCAAAGAATCAGGCATGACCTCACTTGAGATCAACTATGGGAAAGGCTAAATGCATTCTAACTGGTCAGTAAAACTTGAGGTTACTGATTAACATTTCTATCTGATAGCTAATCAATGGCAGAACATGGAGACCAACACTCCATGTTGAACTGACCCTTCTCCTAAAAGCCATGAGTTGGTAAATATTTAATAGAAGCACAGGGCTTTTACCCTTTATCAAGATGGTATGTAAAAGGACACTTAAAAAATAACTTTGTTCCTTTTTTCTCTAAATACAATTGATACTGACATTTAGTAACGATATGTAAGTGGCTAAGGAAAACACAACCATATGGCTATCTGACGCTGATGTATTTTTAACTGTCCAGGAACCAATAGAAAACAGACTTAAATTGTTCTGTTTATTATGTATTCTATTGTGGCGAATTAAGTACACATAAACTTAATGTTACATTTAGATACAAATCAAAACAATAAACTACAATATATTAAGTACGTTGGTATATTTATACTATAGTTGATTGGAGTTGAGCTGCCAATTTCCAGCAAAATACATCTATAAACTGCAGTAAAATCCACAAATGTAAGTTTTATTTTATGCCGTAAAACACAAATGCAGGTTTTATACTATTTCTTAAATGAAGGAAACTTATATTTATAACCTAACAAACTTACACTCCTTTAAAATTGATCTACAATTTAAAGCAATTTGTCCCATGCCAAGATTGATTTGCATCAGTTCCTATACTGAGCAGGGCTCCAGAATATCACAAAAACATAGCAATTTATAGCACAGAAGGAGGCCATTCGGCCCATCGAGTCTGCACCAGCTCTCAGAGAAAGCAATGATTTGCACTGCACGGTTACGATTCTATGCCAAAACGGGCAGTGTAAATGCAGCATACAATTCATGCATTTAAAATAAATTGCTCACACAAATCTGGGTAATAGTAGTAAGTTAAACAAAATAAGGTTCATTTTTATCATACAGCAACCAAATCTTACAGAAAGAACACATTTCCAACATTCTTTAATTTTCAACAATTAGAAATGGGCGCCAGCATGCAACTGTCCTGGGAAAAGTAAATGGTAAGTAAGCTTTGTTAATATAATATAAAAGTTGAAAGAGAAAAATAACAAACCATACTTTAACTCTTGAGATGCAAGCAGTGGTGTGATCATAAATAGCTGTTGCTTGCCAACTACTCCTCATCAAATCTCTTTTTCTGATTGACTTTTGGTATGTATTACAGTATTCAGCTCATAATACATTTTAAAAATTGATTAAAATCAAATAATTTCTATCAGACTATAGGAACTGCAATGCTGCAATTACATTTCTATTATGTTTCATTATTTGCTAAATCTTGCAGTACATGCTTTCAATACACGGCTTCTGCTAAATTATATGTGCTAATTCATATATTCTAAATGTACACAGTTTGAAAATGTTAAATTTAATTTATTTAATCTTTTTAAGATTTACATTCTAATCATATAAATGGTAATAATA